GAGACCTCTGTTCTGTTCCATTGGTCTATATCTCTGTTTTGGTACCAGTACCATGCTGTTTTGATTACTGTAGCCTTGTAGTATAGTTTGAAGTCCGGTAGTGTGATGCCTCCCGCTTTGTTCTTTTTGCTTAGAATTGACTTGGCTATCCGGGCTCTCTTTTGGTTCCATATGAAGTTTAAGGTGATTTTTTCCAGTTCTGCGAAGAAGGTCATTGGTAGCTTGATGGGGATCGCATTGAATCTGTAAATTACTTTGGGTAGTATGGCCATTTTCACAATATTGATTCTTCCTAACCATGAACATGGAATGTTTCTCCATCTGTTTGTGTCCTCTCTTATTTCGTTGAGCAGTGGCTTGTAGTTCTCCTTGAAGAGGTCCTTTACGTTCCTTGTTAGTTGTATGCCTAGGTATTTTATTCTCTTTGTGGCAATTGTGAATGGAAGTTTGTTCTTGATTTGGCTCTCTTTAAGTCCATTATTGGTGTATAGGAATGCATGTTTTCTATGAAAAGTAGAAAGGATAGTACCTGAAGTGTGTTAGGCTTGTGAATCCAGAACTCTTTCTCATGCTATTTTTTAGAAATGTTAATGTTGAATTTCCCATTTTTATATCTGAACTGAAATGTAGACCTTATAACAAGTTAAAAGGAAGTAGGAAATTTTGGACAAATAATGTGGTCATTATTTTATTGTAAACAGCATATTATATAAGGTAAAAAATAATGCTCCTTCTTTTAAAAATAGCTTTTCCTCTTTTTTAAAATTATTTTTAATTAACACATAATAATTATACCTATTTATGGTATTCAATGTGATATTTCAGTTAATGTATACAATGTATAATGATCAAATCAACCCCTTAATTTATTAAAAAAAAAATCTTTTTGAGGCAGGGTCACACTCTGTCACCTGGGCTGGAGTGCAGTGGTGCGATCACAGCTCATTGCAGCCTCACCTTCCCAGCTCAAAAAATCCTCCTGCCTCAGCCTCATGTAGCTGGGACCACAGGTGTGTGCTGCCACACCCAGATAATTTTTGTATTTTTTGTAGAGATGGGAGTCTTGCCATGTTGCCCAGGCTGGTCATGACTCCTAGCCTCAAGCGATCTTCCCACTTAGACCTCCCAAAGTGCTAAGATTGTAGGTGTGAGCCACTGTACCCGGCCTCAACACCTTAATTTTAAGAAAGCACATATTCATTAATTGATACTAGAAACTATGGAAAAGTATAAAGAAAAAAACTGTGGTTGTCCCACAAAAGATAGGTATTATCTATATTTAGGTATGCTAAATACTATTACTTTTTTTTTTTTTTTTTTTTTTT